AAAGAGGGAGAGGGCCGGTGGCAAGAGAGAGAGAAGAGAGAGATGTAATTATGAGGTGTGTGTTGTATTACCTCATTGTGCCTTTATTTATAGTAGTAGGATAGGTTAAATCCTTACCCTAATACGATTACAACTCTAATAGGAATTTAACTACTAAGGGGAATATACAAAGATACTCCTAGATATACTAGGATTTACACAATCACATTCCTAATCCAATAGGATTGCAACAGAAATATACATATTAATAGTAATATAATAAGTTGTATAAAGTCAAGAGACTTTGATCAAAATTGAATACCATTAAAGTTTTGTCAAAGAGTGTTAGTAATTAGGGTTTAAAATTTCAAATGTTAAAAATAATTTTAAAATTGGAAATTTGAAAAGTCTCCCTTTTATTTATTTTTAATTTCAATGTTAAAAATAGTTTTAAAATTTGAAAAGAATATTTAATAAAGAAATTTACTATGTGAAATTGGTATTAAGTGGAATATCCAGTAAATAAAATATGATCTGTTGGGCTGACTAGTGAAGCACACTAGTCAACTAAGATAGATCCGTTAGTCAACCAACACAGATTATATAATCAGATTTAAGTTACCAATAACTATCCTAGTCATCACTTCACCAGTTTATTTTATGTTATTATTTTGTTGAGTGAGCATGAGTCGATGCACATATCTATTAACAAGTTAAGAGGTACATGTAGCATGTAAATATAGGTGAGATATATGACAAGTAATAAAAGATTTTCAACACAAGAAGTTTTTTGCCGGAAAAACTCACATCTGGGTTAAAAAACCGAAGACTCTCCACTGAGTTCAGTTCACTAGTACAAACAAGGTTCTTACAAAGTACTATGCATATCTCAATTCCTAGACCTAATCTATGGAGCAACTCTACCTTTGTGCAACCTTACTTTGCACGAGATGATGATCTCTTTAGTCTTCACGAGGAGATAACTTCTACCTTGAACTCTTCTCCTTGTGGCTTTGAAACAAGCTTAACCTATGCAGATGATGGTATGATGATGACATGAAAATCTGGATCCAATGACTAGTCAGTTTCTCCAGTCAATTAGTTGAAGGAAGAAATTGATGAGAATCCAAAAATAGGTCAATACACAGATTTGAAACTTGAATAACTTGACCACGAACTTAATGCAAAATGCAACCCTAATATACAATGATTGGGTGTTTAATGCATAAAAATGGTTTTCCAACTAGGGTGTCTTTAATGAAGAACAAAGAGCAAGGTGAAGCTTTAATGCTTTCTCTCTTTCTAGGAAAATAAATCTAAAAACACCAAGCAACCAAATGGACCAGCTAGCGATCTTAACCCCAAAAGCTTTAGTTTATTTTTCAACAAACAAAAGGCACATGTCAGGCTTCAAAACAATCTAAAAATATCAAGAGTAAGGAACATACATTTGGCAAAAAGTTGTTAGTCAGCCTATGTAGGCAGGTCTTAAATTACGTGCCTAGCTAGGTAGAACGCATCAAATGATTTAGACAAGACAACAACACTGGTTAGAATGAAACATGAATATTCAGATGTGAAATGCATATGTATGGCTGGACCCTACTTAAGATGATGTGCCACAACCTTGAACTCTTGTCTCCAACAACTTAGGCCTTTAAGGGTGAATTAGAGCAAGTGTGGTACAATTATGAGCTATGTCGATCTTGGGCTCATGACTGAGGGTTAGATGTTTTTCCACGACCTTGACCCATCTTAGACCCCTTGTGGCCTCGAGAAGTGGTGGCATGTGCTTCAGGTACAGCGTTCAAGCCAGTAGGTCTAGCTTGATAGTTCCTCATCAAAAGTTGGTTTTGTTTTTTAGCAAGTTGTAAGACAGATGTCAAATATGAAATCTTAGTGAATCTATTTATGCTATATTTTTGCAGCAAAACAATATTGGTGGCAAGAAAATTGAATAGGTATTCTCCATGGATCATGTTCAGTCAATTCTTAGAATTTAAGGCCACTCAGTTTTATAGTTTGCTGATATTCCTCTTCACTTGTAAGTGAGAGGTCTTATGTTCGACTCTCGTGGATGGCGAATTCATACCAAATTAGGTTGCCTATTATGTGGCTTAGCCAAACTCTCTCTCCCCTTAGTGTAAAATATTTGTTGTACTAAAAAGAAAAATTCCTAGAACTTGAGAAGTGATCAGATTGGACAAACTTCATAATTGTACTCATTCACAGACTTGAATTCAATCACATAGATTTAATCAGTTCATAACCCACCTGGCTCGTAAGGGGGATACACTTAGAATACACACTAAGGGGCAACCTAATATTCCTTTCTTCATGTAAGTCGGAGTTGGTGCTACATGTATTGAACAAGTATCCCCTTATTAGCTATGTTGGATGTTTTGTGCATAGAATAAATCCAAAAAGAATTAAGAGACGTAAATAAACAAGAGTATGATAGAGTGAAAAATATTATCATTCAATCTTGTAAACTAATTGAGACCAAAATTGGAAAAAGAGATACGAACGGAGAGGAATAACCAATCGATGAAAGAAACAAATTCATTTAGAAACAAATAAGTTCTGGTGCTGAAGGACTCTATCCTTTGGATGGGGGGTGGTACCCTCCGTCGTGCTGGAAGATGTCAAGTCCTCTGATTGACCCTTCTGTGATCACTGCCGATGCATAGGTCAGAACTCGAACTTCTCAATTGGGTTTCTGTAATTTTTTGTATGAGGTTCCGGAATCCGCATGACCAACTAATGGAAATTGAAATTTTGTAGCCGAATTTCATAGGAATCGTGTACTTACCATACAAAAGTAGCTTTCTTTTTTTTTTTTTTTTTTTTTTTTTTTTTTTGTGTGAAAGCCATGGAAAAGTAGCTTGTGGTTAACGAGAGATTTTTTAGTGTACAGAATACGAATATGTACGCTATATGTTATTATACAAGTTGAGGAACACTTTATAAAAGAATTTCTTCCACTTTTATAATAACATATATATGATGTAGCGTCCTATTCTCCAGGCACATTGAAAAATCTTTCGTGATTAATGGAGGAGTATGGAAAGCTACTTTTGGATTGTGTCATATAAACTCACATGTTTCATTCCACAATAATTATATTTGCCTGCAAAGTCTTTCACGTGAGGAGCATAAAAACCTGGAAAATTCACACGAGTGAAGGATTTTATTATTAATCAAACAGTGATATTATCTTTCTTTATTATTTTCATTTAAAAGTGTCATATTATTATGTGAAGAAGAATATCAATGAAAATGCTTCTATATACATATATATATATATATTTTTTTTTCAGAAGTTTTTGGAGACACTTCTATTTGGTGTACATCGAAATTCTTAAGAAAAATGCAAACGCTTCATGTAAAGACACTTTAAGTGGAAGCACACAACAAGTATTTAAAAAAAAAAAACACTTCAAATATGTTTTCAACTTAGAATAATTTTTAACTTCTGTAGAACACTATTAGTTATTTTAAAATTACTTCTAAGCAAACCAAAGTTTTTTACAAGAAGAGAGCATTTGCATCATGATTCAATTGTGGGCCATTATATGATAAGAAAATTATAGGTGGAGATCACAGCTCTAACTAAAAGCGAAAAATAAATCATAATATAAAGGATACTAATCAATCTTTATGGAAAAGTGTGACGTGGTCAGAAGTGGCTAAAAGAACTAAAATGGAATGTTAGTTGAGTGTCTGATTAATTCCCAACCTACGTTCTGATTAAAAGAGGAGAATCCTAAATGGCCACTACAGCTTAGTAAAGATGAACAATTAGACTATAACGAATGGGGAATTTGCAAAAAGCTGATAGCTGTGGTTGGAGAAACCTCCTCATGTTGTGGTTCGAGAAATCTTCTGATGTAATGACTGGTTTTATTTTTAAGAATAGTATAACTTTGTAATTTTGTTGGTAAATGATATTTTTTTTTCTTTTTACCAGGTCGAAATTTTTGACAAGATTTTTATCAAGACTCTTTTAATGCACTATATCCTCTATTTGTACATATTCCTTTTTTATATCAATGAACATCGTACCTTATCTTGAAAAGCTTATAACCGAGTTGATTAGAAGCATTTATTTCTATATATGTGATCCTGAATTCGATTTTCTATGTCCTAATATTAAAACTGTTCGTCCTCATACACGTGGTCATAAGTTCAATTTCTTTGTCCCAATATTGCTATTTGAAAAAGAAATAGATATGAATTAAACATTAATACAAGATAAATGATTGAGATTCCCAATTGAACAATATAAACATGTCTAAATTATGATTATATTAAAAATAATCTGACAAGGGAATATTTTTCATAAACACAAAACCATTAATGCATTGTAATATATGAAATAATATGCATTGTGTGAGGAGAGAATCCTTTTTCATCCATCTAGAATACAAATTGGTACATTACGTGTTATAATATAAGGTTTTAGTATATCTTCACTTGTATTATGATACGTAACGTATCACTTTGTATTTTGTATAATGAAAGAATAATACTTGCATTCACCTTTGGAGAGATGAACTCATTCTTCCACTTGCAAATAACATATTTTTACCATAAAAAAAATTATAATCAGAAACGTCCAATTTCTTAATTTTCATTTGAAGATTATCCCTACAAAAGAATCATTCGAATCGAAAATCATTTGGTCATCTAAATGTATCAAATAAATAAACAATTCATTTTTAATATGTTACTTGGTGCATAGCTTTATTTGACACATTTGCATAATTAAATAATCTCATGTTCGACAAATGTTTTTTTAGTAATAATCTTCAAATAAAAATTATGAAATTAAATGACTCTGATTATAATATTTTACAGTAAAATAACATTATTTACAGGTAAAATTACGTTAGGGGGGAATGCAAGTATTATTTCTCATTAGGAGAAAAAGTGCATGTCCGGTAGGTTTTGGAATATGCACCAAAAAATAGGTGTGCTGAGAGAGAAAATTTTGTATTGAAAGAGAAAAGACTTTTTGCATATTCTGTGGTCCGTAAACACCCGATGGTAAATGTTTGCAGAGGCCTCAGACGCCTTCAGAAGACGCACTTAAGCCTCTCTCTCTCTCTCTCTCTCTCTCTCTTATAAGCAGCTTTCTGCATACATCCAAGATGTGGAAGAGGACCTGAAGGAGAGCCTTTTGAGGTGACAAAGGTTTTATCCTTTTGTGTTTTGGTGAATAGTAAGAAATATTTTATCTTTCACTGCATTTTCTTTGGCATATATATTGATCTTGTTGGTGTGTGTTTATATTTTTCGCCTTTGGGGAGCTATATTATATACTGCTGGCTTTTCTGCTGCTTTTGAGCTTAATTATATGTGCATGCATGCCTTTGCCTGAACTGTGAAGTTTGTTGTTTTAGTTTTCACTCCCAAGAATTTCCCAGTTTTTGTTTCAGACGGTATTATTGCCTTTTTGTTTTTGTTTAACCTCTTCATTTTCTATTGAGATGGTGAAGATCTTATACTGTCTGTTGTTTTAGTTTTGACTCTCAAGAATTTCCCAGTTCATAAATTGTTCAATCTCTTGTTTCTTTTATTTGCTTTGAGATTATTAGATCAAGAATTGATGGTTGTGTTTAATTAGTGATTTATCTTGCAGAGTTGATTAATTGGATGGTCGTGGTTAAAAGCTGTGATCTGGAGCAACAGTACACAAGGACAGCAGCCTGAGAAAGGATGCCAAACCAGCTATGGTTTGCACTGCCAATGATTTGCAGGAGTGGAAAGATTTCCCAAAGGGCCTCAGAGTTCTTCTGCTTGATGGAGACACCACTTCTGCTTCGCAGATAAGATCAAAGCTTGAGGCAATGGATTATATTGGTTAGAGATATTTCTTTCTTAGCAAAACAATTTTGTTTCCGAAACTAGAAACCTATTTAATTTCACTCTTTTTGCACTTGTTCATTAACATTCCAGGAGTATGCTGGTCCCCCTTGTCAAAGGCATCTCAATTATAATGCTTCCTTATATAGATGCATTCTTCAAATGTCGATTTGGATTTTAGTCGTATGGAACTTAGGAAGCTACATTGCCATGGAAGAAGAATCAATTTCTTGCAATTCTCAACAACCACCATTGATTTTTTACCTTTATTTTTTTAATTTTTTTGGTTAAAGTTGAATAGTTGGATACTTGTTTGATTTAAAATAATGTAATTCTCTGAACTAAACTGATTTGTTGAATGCAGTTTAGATCTAAATAGCATATTTGCATATTTTAGTGTTGGTTTAACTTCTATGTTACTATACTGCTTTAGTTTAAATTGTTTGTTTCAATGTCTGCTTTATGTATACACATTTTGGGTAAAATTATTGTGTTGATTGCAGTTACTGCATTCTGCAATGAAAACGAAGCATTGTCAGCATTTTCAAGCAACCCTGAAAGTTTCCATGTTGCAATTATTGAGGTAATGAACTTAAAACGAAACTATAACCTAATTATGCTACTTTCAGAGACGTTTTGATGACAAAAGCAACCCACTCTGTTCATTGGTCCCAGGTAAATGCAAACAATGGCCATTTGGGTTTCCAATTTCTTGAAACTGCGAAGGAGTTGCCTATCATTAGTAAGTTTAGAAAGTAATTCTAACCATTTTAAGTTCGCCACAAAACTGTGTTCTTGATTTTTGATTTGTAGTTTGTTTCTGTTTTAGTTCTTCTAATGGTTTTGTCTGTTAACTTGCTTATAAACATCTTTTGTGTTTTATTTGCTGAATCTGTATCCGAATTTTTAATAACAATTTAGATAATTAAATATTACTTTTATTCCTGATGTGAAGCTGCCAAATCTTTCTTACAGTGACTTCAAACATTCATTGCCTGAGCACCATGATGAAGTGTATAGCGGTAAGCTATCTGCTCTAACCTCTTAATTCACTTTTCAATGGAACTGACATTTTTTTGGTTCAAGTTTAGCTCTATGGTCTTAATACTCAAACCAAAGCTGAAGGTTCTAACTCCATTTCCTGTGAATCATATGTTGTCATGACGTTCTATTTTCAGCTTGGTGCAGTTGAATTTCTGCGGAAACCACTCTCTGAGGACAAACTTAGGAATATTTGGCAGCATGTGGTTCATAAGGTCTGTCGAGTGTGGAAATGTTGTTTCAAGATCTACCACAAAGTATTATGCAATTCTTGCAAGCAGAAATTTTCTGATTTTGTAAATCCTGAGCAGGCATTCAATGCAGGAGGAAGTGTCATCTCTGAAACGCTCAAGCCTGTCAAAGAATCACTAGTATCCATGGTGCAGCCCAAACAGGAAAATGAAGAACAGAACTGTAAAATCTCTAAAGAAACAGAAAATGTTCTGCGGGTCCATGAAAATGACCAAGAACAATCAGCAGGGTGTGATAAGTACCCAGCTCCTTCAACACCGCAGCTTAAACAAGTATCACGATTACTGGACCATGGAGATTGCCAAGATCAAATTAACTGCCTATCAGAGAAGGAGAGTGGGGAGCATGACATTGAAACTAAATCAGTCGAAAATACTTGTAACAATCCAATTGATGAAGGGAATCTTCTCACAAGCGAACCTCATCTTATGCTTAGGAAGACGGCAGTTAAAAAGGAAAATGACTCAGGTGATGGGTCTAAGAGTCAGGTTGATATGTCCCATCACCCGGATAATATAGACAGTGGCAATGATAATGGTGGTGCTGCTGAAAATCTGAGTAAAGCATCAGTTCCCAATTCTTCATGCAAATCTAATCGGAAGAAGATGAAGGTACTTGATTTAACATCAAATCATGATAGATTATTTGAGCTTTTTCAATTCGTACCCCGTACTGGTACAGACAACATTTATGTGTGTTGGTCATGCATTAATACACTAGTAATCCTCTTGGAAAATTATTTATTTTATTTGTGCTCAATTCAATTATTGAGTACGTACGAGCACTTGAAGATTCTGAAAATCTTAGTACATTTGCAATTTTATGTTTGGTTTCAGGTAGATTGGACATCCGAACTGCATAAGAAATTTGTGCAGGCAGTAGAGCAATTGGGTGTGGATCAAGCCATTCCTTCTCGAATACTTGATCTGATGAAAACTGAAGGTTTGACAAGGCATAATGTAGCAAGCCATCTCCAGGTGCGCATTTTTCTAATTCTATGATAACCAATCATGTTCTGTTTCGTTATAATCATTTTCTACCGAATCTCATGAATGGGATAAAATTTGTGTCCAAAGAACTTTTCTACCTGCCAATTAAGCATGTATCATCTTATTGTTTGAAATTCTAAAGCTTCAAATCCTTGTTTTTTTAGTGTTCATACCATATTTGGCATTCAGATTGTGACGGTGAGATGATTAATTAGTATTGTTATCATGTGAGCAGAAATACCGCATGCATAAGAGGCACATCCTACCCAAGGAAGAAGACCGGAGATTGCTGCAGCCGCATCATACTAGAGATCCAATTCACCAGAGGAGTTATTATCCTTATAGTCACAGGCCTATCATGGCCTTCCCCCCATATCATTACACCAATCCCACCCTATCAATGCCTCCAGCCTATCCAATGTGGGGATCACAACCACCTGCCAGCAGTCATCCGGCCACCGTCCAGATGTGGGGCCAACCTGGCTATCCCCACTCCCAGTGGCAACCATCAGATCAAAGTTGGCAGTACTGGAACCCTTATCCAGGGGTAATGCATTGTTCTTCATCTTCACAAGTAAATATATGTAGTAGATATAAGCTGTTTGTGTATCGTAAAATATGTTATAACATAAACCCTAAACCGTACAGTTACAAGCTGATGCATGGGGTTGCCCAGTAATGCCACCTGAACAAGGTGGCTATTCCTCTTATCCTCAAGTGAGTATGCCGATGAATTAAAATATCTACTACTCTTTGGTTATATACGTAATATATCTTCATAGGTGTAATTTCACTCCTTCGTTTGCAAATTGCAGAACACATCAGGTTTTCAAAATGCAGGAGGTCATGCAGTTGAAAATGGCCATGGGTACAGCATGCCACAAAACTCTTTCGACATTCATCCGGTAACACCACAAACCCAGATTCTTAGTTCATGCACATTGCTCTAAATTTTGACATTGCATCTAATTAAATTTAGTGAAAACCTTCAAGTTTCTACTGTGACACACACTTTCAAGGACAAGGCCTTGAATTTCTGTTCATTTTCTTGACTCAAATGCCCTTCTGCGTGAGGGGAATGGTATGTGATTGCTCACGCAGTTAACCAACAGTCGTTTACCCGACATTGAAATTCGAAGTGGAAATTGTTCTTGAATTTCAATGTTTGATAAACAACTGTTGGTAAAGTTTGAATTAAAGTATAGGTGCAAAAAGTGAAATTTAGCCTTCAATTGTTATTTGTCCAATTGGTCGTCATTGTGGGAAAAGCATTATAAAAATCAAACTGAACAACATTGAAAAGCCACTCGTTCAATTATATGATTGAGAATAGTTTGCACCAAAATAATGCTTATCCATATTGGCCAAACAGGTCGTTTGAATTTGGCTTCAAATCACGCACATGCATGCAAAATTATTAATTTGACGGGATTAGTTATTGGCACTTCAAAATCGTTGTCATGTATATGTTCTCAATCCTTTCAGTTGTTTCACTTTGAAAAAGTATAGAGAACTATTTTGAAGTGCTAGTAACAGCTCCGGCACATATCTAACCACCAAGGTAATATATATGCTGCAGGCAGAAGAAGTTGTTGACAAGGTTGTGAAGGAGGCAATGAGCAAGCCATGGCTACCCCTCCCTCTAGGCCTTAAGCCTCCTTCCACTGAAGGTGTACTAGCTGAGCTAACAAGGCAAGGCATCTGCAACATTCCTCAGATCAACGGCTCCAACACCCGGTGACGTCGCGGACCTTGTCCCATCCACAAGGCTAGTGTGGTGGTCCTCCTCTCACTTCACTCAGCCAAATCAAGTCGAGTCCGTAACCATGTGTTCTGTCAAATTTTAACATGTATTGGACGCTTGATTTGTAAACGAGGACCAGAGGGTGTAGAAGTGAGCTTTTGAAATTTGACAATTGGGATGGCCATGAACTGGCCACGTTTCCCTCCTCATGTGGAAATTATTCAAAATTGCTGATTGTAAATAGTTCCAGAAGATAAGGGCCAGCTAGCTATTTGGGTGTGCAACTTTTTTTTTTCTGATATGGTCTTTTCCGTGAGCTACCTTTTGGTGTTGTTAGGTCGGTCCTACTCCTACTACTTTCGTTTCATGTCTAATTAATAATGTTAGGCAGAGTTGTTTGCTCTGCCTTCTGCCTTCTGCCATCTGCCATCTGCCATCTGCCATATGGGACTTGTGAATGGGATAACTCAGAAAACATTAGTTGGAATTGCGGACTTGTGGTCCTTATGTGATGTACATGGGTGCATTTTTGCTTACCAACCATAAATTATAGCCTATGCTTATCATGTACTGTATTATTTGACAAGTCTTTCCACTTAACTCTAGGTTTTTTTTTTTTTTTTTTTTTTTAATTTTTTTTTTTATTATTAAACTTGGAAAAGGAGCATTTGATATTAAAGTTAACCAGAATTGGTTGAAAAGACATGTATCAATGATGATGTGTGCGGTGAACATATATTATAATTATAGTGATGAGTAAAAATGCTCATTGACATACATGCTTTAGAAAAAGAAAAAGAAAAAGATAATTAGAAGTGGTCCATTGTTCAGCCTAGGGTGTAAGCTGGATTTAAAACAACTACTATGATCAGGTAATTTCCAACAAGTAATATCCTATAATCAAATGTGATTTTTGAAATTGTAGATTCCGAAATACATAACGTTATTGATTAATATTGTTCGAATATGCTCGAAGAACAATTGGCATGACAATACGTGATTGTCTCCTCGTGGCAAGCTCAATGTCGAGTCTTCGACTACTAGGGTAAGCAGAACGGGTGTGATATCCATACATTTTTTTTTACTTCTCACTCTTTTAATTTTCGGCTGTCAGATCGGATGAATTAAAGAAGATAAAGGGATATAAATTAATAAAGAGTATGTGAAAAATAAAAAGAAGTATATAGATAGCACATCCCAAGCAAAAACATCCATTGATCCAACGTGTGAACTAATGCATGATTAGGGATGATTGATTGGGTGAGTCCTAGGTGTAACTTAAGATGTAGGGACTCTTAGAATGGGACGAGATAGCAAGTAATTTGCATTCTCAAGACACGTAATCTATGAATCTTAAGTCGTAAAGTAAGTTTTTAGCCATAGGATAATTGATAAGGTTATTTGACATTTGTAAATGTCGGTTTATGTTTTATTAAGTAGTAAGTCTGAGAATAGTAATGCAGTGACATGAAATAGACATAAAAGTGCTCATATGCGAGATCAAGTTCAATCAACCTTAAAATACCTACTCAGCGTAGCAGAATTTCTAATAAGGATGGTCAATCTAACTTTAATATGTAGAATCTTACACATCAATAAAAATAATTATGAATATTACAAATTTGAAATTTACAACCGAACCATGTTATCATTTCAAAATCATATGATAATAATACTAATGCTAAGTATATCCTGTTTTTTTTAAAAAAAATACAAGTATGACCAAAATTCTATCAAGGAAAGAGATTGGAAACATAAACAAATAATAAGAGTATCAAATGCTAATTTAAATTTATTAAAAAAGTTAAATAAATTCTAGACACACATGTGAATAAACTAAAAAACTTGAGGCAAGGAATGAAGTGACATGTATGGAGCCTAAAATAATTCTAAAAATCTTAGAGGCGCCACATAGATTTTTGGTTAAGAAAGACAAGATTTCCCTCATTAAATGGGTAGGCTCCTCAAATACTCCCAAGCGCAATTCAGACCCTTGAAGTTCTTAGCAACTGAATATGATTGCCCATAGCTCACCTACCCTTGGCAAGGAAAATAAGCATTAAAGATAAGGATTAATTACCCAAATCCTATCTTTAATACATTCCCAATTGAAGATTGACTCCAATCAAGTAAGTAATCCCAATTTAAATCAATTAGGGATAATTACTCCATTATCTCAAGATATTATTTCCTATTTAATATCTTGAGAATATTTCTCCATAAACATTGGCCAATAGGATGCCGCCATGTGTAGGGGTAAAACCCTAACACTATGGCAGACCCTCTCCCCTATGTATACCCCATATTCTACTAAATTTCAAAGGCCTTTGCTACCCTAAAAAAGCCCTAAACACTTACTCTCTCAAAGAAACTGACTTAGGCATCGGAGATCCATTGGCCTAACCATCCCCCACACCCCCCCCCCCCCCCCAAAACATCCTCATGGGGGCGTGAGGTTTAGGTCTTTGATCAAAGGTGTTGATTGTTTTGCAGGTGCATTTTTGTCAAGACTGAAGACGGTGGAAATTTGCATCGACAACATGCACCTAAGCCCAAGTGTCCTCGTCTCTTGTTTTTATTTTTTATTTTTTTTAATTATTATTAAAGGGAGGGAGAATGATTCAAACCTATTATAATAATTTAGAGGACAAGAGAGTTTCAAACCCAGGATGCATAGGTAGAAACCCAACACCCTATGCCAAAGTGTCTTGGCTTCCTGATCTTTAAGCACTGATAGGATTAAAAGCACACCACAAAGTAGCACACAAATGTCCTATTGATTTTCCTTATTAACTCTAAAAATTTTCAATTGTAGCATATGAAAATAAGGGTCTTTCTCACAGAAGATTGTTTTATCTAGTTACTTAAAATGTCATAAAAACTGGGCTGCTGTCCCTACTGGTCAGCCATCGAAAAATAATTATTAGACGGACTTACATTTATCTAAAGTCTACGAAGTTTTATATGCAAACACTAGACACACAGAGCTACACTCACAAATTTTTGGGATTTTTGGAGTTGATTTGCTATTTAAATTAAATCGAACAAAAACAGAACAGAAACAGATTTTAAATAATAAAAATAGATTGTAGTTCACAAGCTAGGGGAATTGCTATCCACCACCAAATAATCATGCAAAAATGTTATGTTTCATTCAAATTCCTTCTATTTCCGGATGAAGATGCTCAAGTTGGCTCAATGTTAGAACTCAACCTATTACTCTTTCTTATGTAGTATGTTAAGAGAATGACATTTTCAACTTAACTTAGTCCCTAACATGCAATCTAGAATGGTGTGTTCATAGATTTAACAAGTAGAAATCATTAAGAACGAAAAGAGTTTGAGTCATCACAAGGCATCGTAAGTACTAGCGTTGTCTTACTTATCCTAGAAATTGATTCACATGTTAATCGCAATTAACAAGTACTACTTTAGAACATATGTAGGTCCTCATTCGACAAGGGCATGCACGCACATATTCATAGCATTAGAATCATAGATATGCTTACTAAGTATGCATTCGTAGAAAACACATAAAGAATTCATCAATGAGACAAGTAGCGAACCAATTTTCATCCATTCATAAAAGTAATTTAAACGAAATGTCATAACAAACTTGCAATCATACTCGGGGCTTCAAACAGCCCCTAACTACTAAAAATTTAGTTACACAATCCTTAAGTTAAAACAAAAGATAGACATGAGTTTGAGAAAATAGAACCGAAAGAAATCGACTAAGGCTCTCATTTTTTCCTTCCTTCCCCAATGCTACTTTTAAACCAATTCTTGCTACATCATTTTCTTCTCCTTAACTCACCCACTAATAGCCATTTAGTGATGACAATTAGTGAGAGGAAATGTAAAACAATTGTAACTCCTTGGGTAGCCTTTATGCCAATTACTCCCTCTTAATCCTCATCTTTAATTCTATTTCCTCTGATATTTGAATAGGTGTCAGCTGGTTTGTTCTTGGCTGCATCAGTTTTGGCTGCTAGTTTTATTGGATTTATTGCTTTCAATGCTTTCTTGTCAGTTACAAACTGCTCAGCCTCTTGGGAACCTTTTAGTGTTAAAACAGCTATAACTTCTTCTAGAAAAATGATATTAACAATCTACGAAATGCTCCAGAAAATAGACATCCGTAGCTTTCCAAGCATATAAGGCACATTCTCTAATTCATTCTGAGCTGTCGGTAACTTGTTTCCAAAGTCAGCTGACCTGCACAGGCAGTTTTGACGAATTTGTTACTTAAAATTCCACTTGTGTTATTTTCTTTTCTTTACTTGACAAATCCTACAAAACACAAAAAAAAAGTAAATAGCTCAAAAATATAAGGAACTAACTAAGAAAAGACAAGTGAATTTGATGTAAAATATATATAAATATGAGCTTATCAAGCACATATGATATTAGATTATATTTCATGCAGCAAATATTACTATACAAATATGAGAAAACTTGGATATAATATATAAGAAGACATATTTTCAAGATGGTGAGAAGGGTCAAGTGACCCTTGTGGGCCTTAATTGGCCCCGCCGGTGCCTACTCATCGATCGTACTACACTTCTAAACTACGGAAACTAGTTCTTTTATTTGAAACATCACTGGCTATCTCACTGTATATGATCTTTGGCCTCTCCTCGATGCTCTCAAACTCGGTGGAACCTTATAGTGTGAGGCATGAGATTGTAAATTAGTAATGTAATATATGCACAACAAGAAATTTGTCACCTTAAAGTAATTGTCAAGGTAATACAAGAAGACATCAAATCTCATGTTGTCAATCATTCCCAAACGATTACGTGGTATTTTTCTTGCTTCCGGAGTGTTACTTTTCTTGCGAAATATGGTGGTGGTTTTATTGAAATTTATGCCCCACTGAGGGCCTTGCCACCTTTTCATGTCTTATTTGCTGGTGACATAATGGTGTTTTTTTATTTATTTTTTATTTTTAATTATTATTATTATTATTTTTTGTGGTACTACTAAAAATCTGAAGAGGTTTGTAGTGAAATATGGTTTAAATTCAGGACAATTGATAGGAGCATATTTATGCAACTTAGTTAGCTTGTTTTCTTACATTTATGTTGTTAGTTCTTAGTTATTTTAGTTTTTGAGTTATTTTCGTGTGTTTGTAGGTCCAATTGGTTAAAGTGGCAAGAAAGTGCAATTTGGAGCATTTTGGAGCAGTTTTGGGCTTGGAATGGTTAGCACATGCTTGGAGCAAGGTGGATGGACGAAATTGAAGACCAAAGGAGGCTAGGAATCTGCTAAAGAGGTGGAAGAAATTAATTCAAGACTTGAAAGAAAAAGAATCAACCACAAAGAAGGAAACATGAGTCAAATTTCCTTGTTTTGACTTAGTCAATCCTAATCTTTTCCTACTTATGTTCCATCTGCATAGGGGGTTCCTAATTGA